GTCTGTATAATCACTATTAAAATGTAAATATTAATTTTTTCTTTACGAACAGTAGTTAAAATAAATATAAAATAAAATAATTTATACAAGCAAGAAAAAACTACCTTTACAAGAAAAACTATCACCAAAAATACTAGTAAGTTAATTTAATACAACAAATATTTTTTTGCATATTCATATAAATCATCTAAATCTAATAGATAAAAATGATTTTTTAAAACTTTGTTGAATATGTTATTTACAGATTGCTCAAAATCCTCTTCGTATTGAGAAACTCGCCATTCCCAACACCATTGATCGTATTTATTTTTTATAAATCCTCTTCCTTTTGAATGTAAATTTGCCCAAGAACGAACATGGGCTTCAAAAAGACTGAACCAAGTTGACAACTCTTCATATAGTTTTTCTTCTTCATTTCGAACTGCTTCTTGGTATTCTTCATATCTTGTATAAAAATTTAAATGTAATATAGAAAATTGTTCTTCTTGTTCAGTTGTTGGTATGGGGCTTTGAAAAAAGTCTTCATTATCGATGATTGAACTAGACGAACAATTTAGTTTTTCTTGAATATAATCTTCCCAAATTAAATCGATAGTTTGTTTTTTGTTGAATATAGTTTTAATTTTTTTAATAATGTTTTTAATAAAGGTCATTTTGTAAATTTTTTGGTCAAGTATTTTTTTGTTGTCGAATATTTTTTTGTCAAATATTTTTTGTTGCTGTAAAAATCCAGTGAATTAAATAAAAAATTCTTATCAAAATTAATTTTTCTAAAACAAGTAATTTAATTCTCATGACTAATACATGTACCAATAACAAATTATTGATTTTTAATATCAAACTCAATCAGGTTCTTAACTTGATTGAAATTTGCAATAATAAAATCATAATGCACCAATCGTTTTTTAAGGGTTGCAATTTCATCCTCTTGATTTTTTACTAAATTATGTAATCTTTTTATCTCCAAGTCTTTTAATTTTGGTTTATAGATTATACAATTAATATTTTTTTTTATACAAGCATCACATTTTTTAGAACCTTCTATAGAAAATATACAAGTTCTGTGAATCTTGCGACAAAATTCACAACGTGTTTTTTTTGTTCTTGTTTTTTCTTCGTTCATTTTTTTTTTACAATATTTGTTTAAAACTTACGTATTTTTTCTCTATTTATATATGTTTTACCACATTACAACATCTATTTTACAAAATAATATATGTTTAAATTTAATCATTTTCCCAATTTATTTCTATTTTTTTTTATTTTATATTTATTTTAACTACTGTTCGTAAAGAAAAAATTAATATTTACATTTTAATAGTGATTATACAGAC